GCCCCAGGCCACTGGCTACCCCCCCGCACCACGGGCCCGCCCGGCGGAGACCTTAGCCCAGGACTCACACGCGGGCAGCAGGTCCAGCAGCATCCACAGCCCCCAGCCGCCCGCATCCCACCTCAGCCTCCCGACAGCGACATCTCCTCGGAGGGCGACCGGCATTCCCGGGCCCATGCCCAGCGGGACCCCCGTGCAGCACCCCCAGCTCCAGGGCAGCAGCCTTCGCACTCCCAGCCCCTCCCACGCCCTGGCCAAGTGCCTCCCACACACAGCACAGGGGACCCCGGCCCTGTTCTCTAGCACTGGGGCGCCCCTGCTCTCAGACACAGAGCGGCCCTTCCTCGGCCGCGGGCACCAGGATTCCCACCTCACTGACCAAGTGCGGTGGGACTGGCACCATGGCACAGCCCGGAGAGTCCCGCTGCCACTGCCCCGGCTCAGTGGGCTCTGACCTAGGCACTGCCAGTCCCCTGCTAGCATTCGCCTCCTTGCCAGGGGCAGGCTCCGTCTTGTTCTGACTTATAAAGAGCGGCATTGGGGGTGGATCAGGCTGGGCAAAGAGGGAGTTTGCCTGTAGCGCCCGATGAGATGGAGTTAATGAGCGATGTTGCTATTAGGGAGTCCCATAGGCTTGGCCCAGCTCCTATGAATGCTCGGTTCCTCAGGCTTGAGCCCTCCCCCGTCTGCCCATTGACAATTTCATTTCTCCAGGGGAAGGTATTTGTCACACGAAGCCATCTTGGCAGAGGGAGAGGCGATTGATTGCTCGTGTCACTGGGGTCAGTCCCATGGAGGGCTTTGAATATCAGGATGGAGACCCTGAATTGGGCTCTCTCTTTAATGGGGCCCTGTGTGGGGTGCAGAGAACCAGGGTGGTGCATTCCAGCAAAATGAATTGCTAAACTAACAGGCTGATTTCCTGACGCTTTCTGAAGGCAAAGTGCTTCATTCCCATAGAGAATATTGCAATCGTCTTATTTAGATACTACAAAACACAGATCCCTGTGGCCAGATCCACGTCAGATAGAATTAGCTGCAATCTTTTGACCATCTTGGCTTCCTTAGTCCCACTAGCATGACTTGTCTTGTATGTATTCGGACTTAGCCAGTTGCTCATTAATCAGATGTTGTTCACCACAAAGCATCAAGAAAGCTATGAGATTTACAGTTTGCAAGTCCAGAAGGGACCATTGTCATCATCTTATCTGACCTCCTGCCCAGCACAATAGAATTTCACCGATTTTATTTCCTGCATCAAGCCCATAACTTCTGCATGAGCTACAGCATATCTTTTAGGAATACAGCCATTTCAAGACAATCCACCGCAGTCCTAAATACACTGCTCTGTTGTGGGATCCTCGTTGTTAACAATTTGTCTCACTTCAGCTTCCAGCAGTTGGGCACTATAGATAACAGCTGATGCAGTGTTGACTCGCATCAGCTTATTGCTGGCACCTCAGACATGCAGTGTAGTCTCCCTAGCTCTCTCAAAGTTTTATATTGAATAGGGTGGCAGAGAGAACTGAGCATTCGTGGCTCCCATCTATGAGGCATCAACATGGATAAACAGTTGTCCATGATTAATTTTTGGGGTCCACCTGCATGCAACAGGATCAAGACACTAGCAGTGGGAGTCATATACAACATTCAAGTAGAACATCATCTCAGGTTCAGCCCACTAGCACAGAAATGCATGCTTCCAGCCCACGAGAGCAGACTGCCAGGGCATTTGCTCTGACAGGCACAGTACCAGACTCTTGGCACAGTGGGAGCCATGGTTTGTGGCACAAGCCCCAAGATTTACACTTCCAGTTTCCAAGAACAGTGGGATCTCTGCCACACAGGAAACCAGAACCAGGGAGTGAGTGCAGCTGGCTATGTAACCCACAGTAACAGCACTGGATTCACATTCCCAGTCTCCAAGTGCAAAGAGATCTGCTTGTAGTTAGCACACGAGTTCCAGTAGGTACAGTCTGAGTCTGGGTGCATAGTGCAGTGACTCAAGAGTGTGGACACTAGTCTCAGGTCAGAGTATTAGAAATACATGCACAAAAGCCAAATTGGTTCTGAGTTCTATTTCAGCAGTCAAGTTACAGAGCTCTGCAAATCCATAGATCCCTGCTTTATATCTATGGGTATCCACATCTGCAGATATGGCTGCAGATCTGCATGGCTCATTTTTGTGGATACAGATGCAGATGGGCATACAAATTTTGTATCCAGTCAGGCTCTACCAAATGTCAAGTGGAAACTCTTCAGGTAATACAACAGCCTTAACATGTAGTCACTGTCAGTCTCCTTGGGTACACTGATCTATCTTGCTACCCAAATGAACCTATCTTTGTGATAGATGGTATCTTACACCAAGCATCATAGCAGTAGTCAAATTACTTTCAGTCCCAAAGGACCAGTTACTTACCCCAGGTCAGTGGCATGTTAGATCTTCTACTAAAGACAACATTTGTAGGCAATCTTACAGCAAACTTTATACAGAATTATTAAATAGGAAAAGGACATTAAAGAGCTATTTATGAAGTTGTGAGTAAACATAGACAACTGTGTAACAGTCTTCAATTTCATCAGGTAATAGAAATTTCTGTATTCAGCAAACTTTATATGTCCATTAGGATTAATCCAGGCTAAGCAGCTGGAGATCTTGCGTATGCCTAAAAACACTTTGGTGCCCTAGAGTTCAAGCGCACAGAGTTCCTTTTGTTTGGGGGGTTTTATCCCTCTCCTGCCACATGTCTTGACCTGCAAACTCAACCGAAGGAAGAACTCTTCTTGCAGGACTCTTCTTCACAGGGAGAAGGGTAGAACAGTAGAAGTCTTTTATCCTCTTGTGGATAGTACACAGGGAAATCCCAGTTGCAACATCCCACAATTATTTGGTATCAATGGACTTTTCCTTTTGGGATTCTGTTAAGATCTGCACATCACATGAACTGACATTTATCTTCTCTCTGGGGATTTACACAATTTAGAGGTTCACAATACAACTGCTCAAATATTATCTTACACTATGGGACACAGATGTTGTGAGATTAACGAATGCAGCAATTCATAAGTATTCAATAGAGACTAAACACACTCTCATAATTCTAATACCTATTTTAATATACACAGGTGAGCCAGACTGATTTCAGTTGTCTGGTTGTCAGTTTCAGTTGAGACAAGGGGATCTTGGCAAGAGCTGGCACCTGGTCTGCCAGCATCAGAGTGGGATTGCCACCCAAGGGCACCAGAGCTAATGCTTACAGCCCCTGAGTATAGCAAGATTCAGAACTCCCAGCTTCAGAGTTCACATTTAAACATCTTGCTATGCCCCCTCTATCCATCACAGGTTGGGAGTAATGTAACCCCTGCATCAATGAGAGGCAGTAGCAGGAGTAGCTGCTGATCTCCATGCCCTTCATATTTGGGGAACCCCAGCTTCTCTTTATGGGTTGATCCTGCTACCTGTGGGACCAGGGCAGGTTGCATTAGCGGATGGATGAGAATTTTTTTCCTCTGTGAACCTTGTTTAAATATTTAGCAGAAGCTACCTAAAAATATCCCCACTTAACACAGCAGCAGCGAGACATCCACTCCCTCAAGATGACTGTCATCTCCTGCTAACCTTGGGGTGATCTGTCCCTTGCTCTAGAGCTGGGGTGACACTCCTGATGTGTGTGTGTATGTGTATTAAAAACTGCCAAAGGACTGTGCACAGCTTGGGAGTAGAAGTTATGCAACAGGTTGGCCCTCAAGTCACCCCAAGCTGGACATTCTCCTGGCTCAGTCAGTCATGAGCACAAACAGGCAGACTTCCACCCCTCTGGAAGATACCGAGGCAGAGCAGCAGGGAGCTGTCAATGGGTTCTCCACACACATCCTTGCTGACCCTGGAGCCAAGATTTTGTAGCTACAGCAAAAAAATAAGCAGACTATTTACACTGATTTTCTGTTTAAAGGTTTTGCTTTAGAACAGACTCCCAGTATCCGGCAGCTCATCACTCCACACCTCAGAAAAGAGTCTGGGACTCCTCTGGGCACTGCTTAGCGGGAGGGAGCGCCTGAGAGTTGGAGCAAGTGCAGGGCAGGAAGGGAGCAACACCATGCCTCCTAGTGCCCAGCTAGAATGCAAGGGGAATGGGCATGGCCAGACCATAAACCCAACGTATAACCTTAGTTTACTAGTAGCTATGCGAGCTAACAA